TGAAGTGTGCCACAACCCACACTACTGCCAAGCACTCTCCCTCGTACGAACTATATCGCGACTCCGCTGCATTGTTCGAACGACTAGCGTACGCAACCACAAACTCCTTGCTCTCATCATCACGCTGCGTCAACACCGCTCCAAGTCCCAACATACTCCAATCAGTGTGCAACTGGTATGGACGACCTCTGATAGGTCTCCTCAAGATGGGAGCAGCCACCAACCTGGCCTTGAGCTCAACAAAAGCTCTCTTTTGCTCATCTCCCCATTGCCAGTCCTGATCTGACTTCAGCAACTGGTTCAAAGGTTTGGCTATAGCACTGAACCCCTTCACATACCTCCGGTAGTAGTTCGCCAAACCCATGAATGCACGAACTCTACTCATATCCGTGGGACGAGGTATGCGTGCAATAGCTTCCACCTTTGCTTGCTGAACTCCTAAATCACCTGGGTATATCACATGACCCAAGTACTCAACCTTCTCCTGGAAGAACTTACACTTCCCAGGATGTAACCTCAAACCATGAGCCCTCAATCGCTCAAACATAATCTGTAAATGTATCTGGTGTTGCTCCACAGTGTCACTAAACACCAAGATATCATCAATGTAACATCTGACAAAATCCAGCCCCGCCAGGATTTTGGGGCTGGATTTTGTCCATAACTCTCTGAAACTCAGCAGGTGCATTCTTCAACCCAAAGGGTAAGAATCGCCACTGACACAAACAATCCTTGCCGTGGGAGTTGACGCCCAAAAACGTTATCTTGGTTTTGTCCTCCTCCCGAATTGGCAACTGATGGTATCCTGCCCGAAGATCCAAAGTACTGAAAATCCTCGCATGTCCCACCACATCGAAGATCTACTCAGGTGTAGGCATGGCATACTTATCGGACTTCTTCTGCCGATTGATAGGACGGTAGTCTCCACACATGCGCCACACATCTCCACATTGACGCATACTCACCATGCGATAACTCCACTAATCCAGCCTCCAGTAGGTCCAACGTCCTACTCCGAATCAAATCTCTCTCCATCTCACTGTATCGATAAGGACGACGGAAGATTCGCGTATCACTAACCAATTCTATCCGTATACCGAGTCCAATCAACGCACCCAACTCCTTCATACTGAAGGCAAAACAACTCCTATAGTCTCGTAGGAATTGTGTCAATCGTCGCCTTTCTCCTCTTGAGATCTGGGAACCAATCAATGGCTCCCATTCCTCCTCCATATACACACTAGAGGGAGGCGACACTGTCAATGGTTGCTACTCTACACACTGCAAAGAAGGATTCTCTATACCCTCCTTCGTAGCCACCTCCACATGAGACTCCTCTCCAACTGCATGGGCTGCAACTCTAGTAAGTCCTTTCGTCACGTCCCATAAACTTTAAGGATGACAAATATCTCGCATGTCGCCCCCAGCCATTGCCTCTACCGTCTCGGTAGGCAATGAGCTAACAAGTGGTGTACTAACCACCAAATCAACGCGCAAACGGCGTTGCTCCGCCAAACCCAAGCTCACAATTCACGTCAAGTAGTTCAAGTCCATAGCTTCACCCAAAACCTGACGACGCGAAGCCTCTGAAACTGTAGCAGCTGCGGTGACACCAGTCATAAATCCCATTGCACGCTCTCTCTCATCAGCGTTGGGCTCCACCGACTGATGTACTGTACTGTACTGTCCCACAGTAGTCCAAGTCCACCATTACGATATGCATGTGATGTCGGATAACTGACAAATGTAGGTAAAGCCATCCGAGGTTGACCTACGCGGTTCACCTTCGCCATATGTGTCATATCAGCAACTCTCACTATTTGAGAGTGTCGGAAAACATCCAAGATACAGTCAACGGTGAGTGTAGGATCACGCTGCACAGAATCATAGGCATGACGCAATATCTCACGTGGCAAAAGATTGGTCCACCATAAACGTGCACGATGAGCACGTGATCCAACCCTCGCAGCATCCAACAGTACTGCTGATCCAATCCATGCTCGGACTTGATGGACACTCGCCATCAACTGGGCCCGAATGTCACTCAACAATGGTACGTTCTCCAGAATGTATGCTGGAGAACGTGTCTGGTGCACCTGAAGATGACGTAACACTCGCGTCATCTCCCAAAACATCCGAGATCTGGGATCATGCAATCCGGTCCCATGTCCAGCGCGTGTGTGTCCCTGACATGGCCAGCCCGCAATCACCATATCAATATGGCCAACGTGGTCAAGGTCCGGCGCCCCCAGCAACGAAATGTCTGAAGGCAACGCCTTCTGGTATCCTCGAACAGCTGATTGCGGCAACAACAAAGGAAATCGCTGCATCAATTGTGCAACATGTCGTGAAGAAACTCGACGTGCGGTCTCGTCCTTCTCCACATACAAGTATCTCCGTACGAGAATACCTGACTGCAACACTGCTGCCAAACCAGTGCTGATCCCACCTAAAAGATCTAGCAAACAAACACCCTCTGGGGAATACTCCCATGCAATAGGTGTAGTAACTAATGGAGACAATGCGCTAGAACCACCAACTAGCCGATCAATTGAAGCTTTCTCTGGCTCTACTGGTAAAGAGGCTTCACTCCAAGACTTTTTCACCAACCTATCAGTCTCCAACTGTAGTGCCTGGCACGAACCCCATAGTGGATTATCTAAGGGTGAAGTCACCGCCGCTGTGAAACTCATAACCTCCTCCACATCCTCGTAGACTGAGGTATCGTCGGCAGACATGTTCCTCTCCAACAAGTCATCGGGCCAGGTAAGCATTCCCCTAAAAATCCGCAACAGATGCCAAGACCGTTGATGAAGATCTAGAAGGTCGATCCCGAGAAATACATCTCACTGGCAGCTCGCTCAGGCGTCCATCTCCGGACTGCCAACCAGGACGATATGCGGCAGTCTCCGTCCAATAGTCCATCCGAAAGCCCATCGGGTATAACACAACTCCACCAACAAGCACATCATATGACTTTGCTGATGTAACCACAACACGAACTCCAAACTGCGAGCTATCATGAGGGTGATCATGCCTCAACTACACCGCTATGCTCTTGCTGGTCATAAAGTAAGACCTATCGCTGGCGCCACCAAGAGATGTCTGGATGTGGAATGGGCAAGGTTCAAACTCTGACCTCCGAATACCCAAACTAATGCATGCAGCCTTGCCCAACATCAAGGGCTGTGCACCAGAATCCAACAAAACTCTGGCTGGGACATACACCTGTCCCGTAGAACTCACTAACCGAAATAGACCACTTCGGTTGTCCACCATACATACACCAGGAACAATACTCTCGCGATCAATGGCTGGGCGAGCTGGTAAGGACTCCATCCTCGCCGCTGCGGCCTGCCAAGTCTTCTCCTCGAACAATGTAGACGTTGAGGATGTGTCCTCAACCGTATCCTCACGTATCTCGGCACTCGTAGCAGCGACTCATTCACGTTCACACGACGTGGCTGCTACCCGAAATACTAGAGCCAAATCAATACCAGAGTCTATCAACTCCGTGGCTGAAAACAATGGAGATCGCAAGACTGAAGTGGCCATCTGCATCACTGCACTAGATGGCACGTCTGCGTCCACAACAGATGATGTAAGAACCTCAGTTCTCACTCTAGTGTCACTAGGCGGTGCAGGTCTCATAGATGAACTGCTACCCAGTCAAGGACGACTCGAAGAACGTTAGTTCTTCGAGTGAAATAAACGGGAGATTCCCCACTGGAATTCCCGTCGGTCAATTACCCTACTGGCAACAAACCGTCACCGTCACAAACATGAGTCAAGCCCAACCCACTCCACACTCGGAAAATCCAGGTCGACGCAAAGGGGAAAGTCGCTCTACGCTCCCAACGCTTTCAGGCTCGACTCGAAGAACTAACGTTCTTCGAGCCGTCCCTGACTGTATACCCCTCGTGACCCGAACCCTATTTACATGTCTAAATATAGTAAGTGCCCAAACTGCGTGAGCCGACTCGTAACTACATGATAAATCTCTCTCTTCTTCATTAGTTTTAGTCTTCGTAACATCTCTCTCTTCTTCATTAGTTTTAGTATTCGTAACATCTGTATAACTATCATATACATTTTGTTTATATTCAACATGTACACAAGACCTTAAACAATTATACATGATACAGAACTTAAAGCTAAAAGCACCCAACCCAAATTGATAAAAATAGCATAATGTTTTCTTAAACAACAGTGTTCACATTTAGGTAAACACAGTGCTCAAAATATTTTTTTTTGTGAGTAGGTCACATGGCTCGATCTTAGCAGTTGAGTATTCGAATCTAAGGTGTACAATGACACGACGATTCCGTTCATTTCAGAATATCGGGTGAAAAATTCTCTGGGTAGTAACCATACAACTTTTACAAACTTAGTTTGCACACGGTATGATAAGTGTTTGGGCAGTTCTTATGCACAATGAAGCTGTAAAATGAATGGTTCAGAAAAGTCTTCTTTAGCGTGTTTCGTTGATAGTACTGGTGTTGCTTGAGATTCCCGAAGTTTCATAGGGCTAATGCTAAACTGCTCTATGCGGTCAATTGTACCAATTTGAATGGGCACGCGGGAGTACAATTATTCTCCTTACGGACCTTAGACTCGACATCCCCAAATTAGATTATCTCAGGACATGGATTTCGCATCACAATTGAAAGACGAGCACATTCCGGCCCATGGAGAATGAGGTGCGAAACTTTGTCTGTGCCAGATCTGTTAGATGATAGTAGATGGGCTCTTAGTGTAGACAACTAAAACAAAGAGTGCCCCTCTGAGGATCTACATAAAGTCCTTTATACGCATTACGTTTAATTTCCACTCAGCAGTACAGAAAGTGAATCTGGACACTTCACGATCACATTTTCCAGTATCGGGGGCATCTTATCCGGCTGACAAGTAACATATGGAAAGCAAAAATTTGTAATCACGAATTTCAAACGAGGACAAGAAAAACTATGAGCAGAACCACGCGTGATGAGGCATTTTGACATGCAAAGGCGACACCGAAATTTATCCAGTATTGTTATCAACATATCATCGACTATCCTACTCAAAACCTTCTTGCAAACCAAAGCGTATCGAATAGCGATTAATGTTTGTCACGAAATGTCAACAACTGTCAACATATCTGCTCTGAATGCTCAGCAGCTCATACCTTCGGTGGTAACTACGCACGTATTATACAACTCTTGAAACCGATATATCCACAGTTGTAAATCAACCACGACGCTACCTTGCTGAAAAGGTTCAACGCTGCCAAACAAAACTTGTTTACTACATGCCGAAAAGAATGTACCAATAGCAAAGTCGCGCAGAATAGACTCTGCAGGACTTCTGCTTTGGTTGTGATTTTCCCCAAGAATTACCTAAGTGTTAATATTGAGATCTCTCTACCTTTCAGACTGCCTGCGATATGCCTCCTGCAGAAAATGCTCATATGCAGCCCAAAGAAATTACGGATAAAACCAAAGCGCGTGATTAGCTTTCAAAACTATTGAACATATCCTCTAGACTACAACTGTAACACTGGTAACGACCCAGCACCTCGGGGTCATCGAGCTGGATGAACCGAAGCTCGAATTTTCACCCATCAATTAATGCCAGGTAGAGAGGCCCGCCCACATTGAGCCAAACTATATCATGAAAGGGCTGTATGAGTGCTCGTCATAGACGATGCGACCGACCGCAGATTGTACACCACAAAGGATATAATTCCTAATTCTACCTCTCCAACTAATGATTTACAGCCTAACTACCAACACGAGCCAGCTAGCCAAGGTACACTTCCTGGTTGTTGGGATTTGGTCTGGGTCGATAATTTTCCATCGTTTGTTGCGCCGGTGCTCTCACGCTTTGTTTGTACATATTCAAACCTGTAGCAGGCATAACATCGGAAAATGGGTTACCAGAAAGATCAATTAAGAACTTGTTACCGACGCTTGTCATCCTTCTTTTAAATCTTGCTCGAGAATTGATGAGTTCCATAACCTGGCCTCTAAGACAAAGTTTATCGCCTCGCGCAGAACTTAATGTGTGAGTTGCAATTTCTGGCGGAAAGCTTACACTTGCCTTCATTGAATCTTCCAAAGTCAGTGAGCCATCGAGAGCGAAGACTTCTTCATTAAACCGTTCTTTGTTCACTAATGTAATGTTTCAAATAATAGAAGCTATAAGTTAACATGAGTCCCAAGTTGCTGCATGTTTCTTTCCTGGGATACCCAAAGTCGCTGAAAAACTTGAACCACGTCACTCATCAAAGTGTAATGCTTCAACCACTTAGTCTGGACTTAGCGTAATACACCAAAATGTGTCAGGAACACGACCGTTGGACGCTAGCTATTACCGTCCGTATTGTAAATGTTCAAATCAAGTGAGTCTGTGAAAAGAAATAGAAATCTAAGGCCTGTTTAGGTGACTTCATTCCTTTCCATATTTCTTTGTCCAATAACAGAACCAGTTCTAATGTTTGCAAAACTAGCCTCACACCAACCTCCTCCTTGCGTGCACACTGCCCTTACTACCAAAAATATTCGATCATCCACTTGAGAAAGCCTAACACGCTACAAAAGAGGAGTTGTATGCAGTCCTAGCTACATCCAGTAAACCAGATTAGAGCATAGTTTACGCTTAGTATCGCAAGTTCCGTGCCATCTACTGATTTGACACCTAACTGATAACACGCAAACTGTAGGCCACTTATGGACATGTGCTCATCAATATGCTACAAGAGCTACCTCAGCTACCACTGTCTGGAATCGTGACTCGTTAGTATCTACTATTACAAGCCAGTTTGAATACGGCATCACCCCGCAGCATTGCCGCTAGGAAGGAAGTAGACAAAAGTGTGCCGACCTTTTGCTTCAACTGCTCCATGAAAACTACTTAGCGGCTCGCAGAGTCTGGGCTCCCATAACCGAGATTTATGGCAATTTATGCAGTACCCATAACGCCTGGACGGTCAAGGCGAGTTACGATAGAAGCAAGGTCTGGTGAGCTCTTATATACAAAGCCTACTGAGAAGTCCTGTATATACTTGACGCAGCCGTAACTTTAACAGCACATTCAGGAGTTCTCAGATAGTATCTGGAGCTGCGTGTTTTCCCGCTCACACGAAGTGTGAACGTGATCAGGGAGTAAATGTGAGCGACGAGAAACAATTTTGCGTACACATATTACAATATCCTACCATCGTTCGACGCCTTCAGCCATGCGAGGAATTTGAAAACACCACATTTAATCCACAGTAAGTTTTGCGCCACTTCGGGGTTATAAGAAGAAATCCTCCTCCTCTGGTCTAACACGGAAACTTCATAGACAGGCTGGGAAACGGCGAGATTCGCTTTAGCCACAGGGAAAATGGTTGAAGTCCTAAGCGAAAGCAAATTAGGCTGAATTGTTATACACAACATTTGTGCATCATCAAGGCAATTATGCTGGACGGGCGGACGCAGGTACGGAAGGTCATGGCTTAGTTCTGAGTGTTACGTATAAATTATACAATACATCCCTCTCATATGTGAATCCGTTGTAGTCTAGTTGGTTAGGATACTCGGCTCTCACCCGAGCGACCCGGGTTCAAGTCCCGGCAACGGAAAGAAAGTTTTGGGAAATTTAAAATCACAATTTTGCAGGCCAGCCTTGAAAGAATCTGCTTACATGATGATCCCCACAAGTAAGGCGGCATGTGATTTCAATGCACCCTTGGCCCGGATTCCAATCCCCGCGATGAGAAAATGCTCCTGGCTGATATTGCTGCCATTTTGCAGTATCCACCCCCTGGATTGGTGGATTCTAGTAACGCGGTATATTGGGTTCACAACCTTATAATACGGGAATCCATCGAGACTTCTGATGACAGATAATAGAAATCATTCTACAAAGATAAAGAAAGGAATTACAGTTTCTTACAAATGAACCTCATCAGACTCATATGCTTTTTAATCATGAATAAGCATAGACATTAAATCAAAGATCATAAAACTGAGGTGCATAGGAGGAGGAAGTCGAACAAGTCGTTACCTTCTTCCTCACAAGCTTGAATTTCACGCCACTCTTGCACCAGCGAGCAGCAGCAGCACAAAATGTGCGCCCACATATCATCGCACGTTCCTCCCTGCATACATGTAGAGTGAAAACTCAATATTGTCGTTGCGTTGCCCACTGTGACATAGTTACGAAACACTGACTGAATCCTGACGGCATTCGCCAGCAAGATAATGGCTACATGTTGTTGACATCGCTAATACTACAACTTTGGCTCCCAAAACATACCATTTCATATCATACATAGAACCAAAGATTCATACATAATGCACTCAGGTTTCTCTTTCCATTTTTCAAGTTCTAATAGTTTCGAAGTTCTGATGTATTACTTCGCATCGAGATGGCTAATCTCAAAGCGTGAAGGTAAGTATGCCTCAAACGAATCAACCTTCAAAATCCTCCTTCTTAAATAACAATACACGGCCTTCTTGCAGACAATAAAACCGAGAGAAAGAGCGAGAGCAGTACAGGTATATTGAAGCGCTTCCGCAGTTTCCGTCTGAAGCAGCAGGTGTACAAGCAGCAGCCTAGATAAAGCGTATGAAAGGCTAGATCATGGCAAGCAGTCTCTTGGGCTGTTGACAAGCACGACAGGAGGTCAGATTCTGACAAATAAAGATTTTCGCCAGTGAGGAAGATAATGTTCAACGTCCTAAACATGAGAATTCGCTTATTAAAGACGTACAGTAGCTCGAGCATAAACTTCGATTAAAAGTGAATGGTTCAGAGACGAAAATGTATATCAGATTGGCAGAAGTGTCATGCGCTTGTACAACTGTCAGGTTCGACAAATCAATTGCTCATGTCTTTGTCCGTACACTCAATAAACAGATTCCGCAATCGAGTGAAGTGTTTTGGGCTTACAGATCTCTCCGTCAGTGACAACAGCAGCGATATTTGTGAACGTGCCACAAGGATAAAGAAATGTAGATATGCCTGTACCATGAAAACAAAAGTCAAACTTCACCATGAAATAATGATATCAGAAAAAAAACTGAGCCTTTGCGTATGTAGACCGCTGACTATCCATCTGTAAAGTCGCCTAGAGCTCGTACTAAGCACCTGGAAGCCTCCATTCTCACTACATTTCTCAGAGGAGAGAAGGCTAGGAATTCAGATGGATTTAACCCCAAAACAACGAAACTGCCCTGTCTATTTGATGATCATTAGAGCAGTCATGCCTGAAAAAAAACAAAAAAAAAAAAACGTAATAACAGAAACGTTGAGATGAGACAGGCGATAATCAAGGACACAGCCAGATATAGAAGCCATAGAGATCAGCAATGATTCAGAACCGTACATAGAAAGGGGTCGAACCAGCAATCATAAAGTGAATTGTGCCACTGTCTGGGCAGTCTAGACCTGTCAAACCTTCGAGCCCCATTGTTATTTTCACTAGTCTCCACCGCTCTAGTTTCGACAGCATCCGACAAGGGCAATTGGGCCACCTGCGAGCTGGTAACCTCGTTCCGTACAACGGGTGAAGGTGGTTTCCGATGTGGAGGAGGATGAGGAGGTCTGGTTCTTCTGTGTCTGCACAGAAAACTCGACTAAGTCATTCTAATCTCTACTCTGAAGAAAACAATAGGTATTAGACGAACTGCTCTTTTCGCTGAGGAGAAGGGTTCATCGCAGGTGAGAAAAATCAAGAACTTTTGGGAAGTTCTGCTGTACAATGTCCTTGATCTGGATGCTGAAAAAAAATTTAATTACAAGATTCCAACAAAATCAATGAATCTGTCTGCTCTCAATATCAGGAAACGTACGCAGGGTCTGGTAGTTCCGAATTGTTCACATGGGCATGAATTGCATGATGTCCATGATTTGCATGAGCATGGTTGGACACATGTGGAACAATGGCGGTGTTGGGATCTATGTGCTCGAGGTTATCATTTCCTGACGGTTGATCTTCGGTCGGAATGACGCTCACTTCCTCCGTAATTTCAATAAGATGCTCTATGACATCACACTGATCCAACTCCATTCTTGCTTGCATCTGCTGCAGCTCAAGACGCAGCTTCTCGTTCTCTTCTCGGAGAGCTCTTTCTAAGCCCAAACCCGGATAACTCCTAGACAGAGACCTCTGTAAGATAGCAGAATCTGCTATCGTCCTGTCATCTTTCAGAAGAGTCGTGTATATTGTCTTTTCCTCGTCATCCATCGTGTACTCACGCCGATCCTTCTCAATAGCTCGCAGTTTTTCCTGAAACCCGCTCGACATTCAAGTATCAGACCCCGTGTACTAGGCTTCCCATGAGCACAGCGAGCTCTCCTGCTACGGTACCCATATCGCTGCTACACGCCCGAGCATGCGGACCAGCATTGGTAATGCTGCACCAGAGCAGTCACCAATGCACTGTCGGGCCGAACAGATGAAAAGCATTCACAGACATACAGCATGGAAGTGAATGTGGTCGATCTCTGATCTGAGACAGCTGAGTATCACAAGACTGCACAAATGGAGGAGAGGAGTGGGAGAGAATGAGGGTACTTACTCGATGATTTTCCACCAGACTGATGAGAGGAATGAGTCGCAGATATCTGTCAATCTCATACTGATAGTCCTTGAACTGATTAACGATGTGCCAACCCATGGCAATCAAGTACAAGTAGCTCTTATCTCGGCAGTTCTCAACCAAAGTCAAGGCCCTCTTCAAGCAGCGCTCGAGGTGGTCCAGGGGCTCCCGCGTGTCCCTGTACTCCGGATACTCGTCCACATCCTGAGGTTTCAGCTGCTCCAGCAAGTTCGCAATGAGCTTCAAATGCTGCGCGAACTGGCGACAGTTCCGCTTGTGCATTCGAGCATTGCTGGCAGCTGCCACTATGGAGTATATGAGCTTCAAAGAAGCCGAGATCTGAACAACATTGGCTATCTCTCCGATCACCACCCATTCCATGACTACGACTGGCTCAACTGATGAAACTGAGCAACTCCAAACTTAACCTGCGCTTCCCTTCACCAATAATGCTCGGCTCAACTCCGCATCGATGAAAACGTCTATACTAAATAAGGCCACCCGAACTATCATTATCTAGGCTGCTGTGAACGAAGCAATTGGCCTGATCCCGAACGCAAGTCCTCTCCCTCTCCCCGGCGCTCGGACGACGAAGTTGGCACAAAGGAGCGTCATGCACAAGCAAGTCAGTCAGTACGCACGACGGACTCTCAAAAGGGACGCAAGCTATCTCCCGAGGCATTGTGTGGCAGCACATCATAATCGAAGCCCGCAGGCTTAGAGCCGGAGTCAGATTGCAGCTCAAGGCACTGGCACCTCCGGGCGGCTCGATTCTCGTCCCAGCAGGCCATCATCCCAGCGCGTCGTCGTCGTCGTCGTCGTCGGTCCAAGAAAGTGTCTCTCCGCCACCCAAAAACACCTCGCCGCACTGTCAGTCCCTTCGACCCACCAAGGCCCCTTTCACGCCCCCACTCGGCCGCACCTCCATGAACGCTCCTCGCCCTCGACCATGAAATTGCCTCCCCTCCCCTCCCCTCCCGGAGCTCAATCACTCGCCCTCGTTCCTCGACGAGACGCAGCGAGTCCCCGCACCAAAATCTGAGCCGAGCCGCAATGCAGCGCAATGCAATGCAACGCAATGCCGGAGGGAGATGGTCAGACGCGCCAACAACGGGCGACAACAGCTCGCGCTGCCACCGACGCTCGAATTACTACGACCGCTGCATTGCCTGCGTCACATGGCAATCCGGTTCGACCCCCGACCCCGGAACGGAACGGAACGCCTCGGTCCCGCAGTCCACCTCGTCCCTTAACTCTCTCGCTCTCCTCTCCTCTCTCTCTCGTCGACGAGAGCCCCGTCGTCCCCTGCCTCGTCCCCTGTCCCAATCCCGGCGCTCACTCACTCCACGAAAACTGGACCGAACGGCGATGGGCGGCGGCAGCTGCCGGCGTGGGGCCACGACGACCGGAATCTGTAGCTTCGAGATTACGAGCAGAGGAAGAAGAAGAAGAAGAAGAAGAAGCGGCTGGTGCTGGCGGGAGCTTTGGAGCTGGGGCCCACGGCGGCACCTTTCGTTATTTCCAGCGACGTCGAGCGAGCGAGCGAGCTCACTCACGAGCTCCGTCGCGATTCTCGTGAGATTTCTCGACCTCAGGCTGCTCTCGCTGCCTGTCCCCGTGATCGATCCACTGTCCGCCTTTTCCGTCTTTTCGTCGACGAATCCACTCCCTCCCTTCTCCCCGGGATTCGACTCGGACGGAGGCGGAGGCGGGCGACCCTTTGGCGGCGCTCGTTGGCTCTAGCTTTATCCTCCTTCCGATTTAGCGGAGAGTAAACGGACCGTACTCGACTTCGTGACTGTTACATTCCGATGTGGTCGAGCCGGACCTCCCGACAAATGTGAGGAGGAATCATGTGAGTCTTACCATGGTTCGGACCTTGCCCCCCTACGCAGTACGAACGCGTACTGCGTCATCTGTTGCGTCTTAGTCTTGGGAGTTTCAAGCTACCAACCTGTAGATATAGGCAACCCACGGAAAAATGTGGAACGGTGGATAAAGCATCGATGACGATCTCAACACAAGATCTATGATAAGTCATCATTGCAGTAAATTTCTGGGGTTAAAGTACATGTCGATAATTTGTGCCACACGATTGGGCTAAATCAAATCTTGACTTTACGTGTGGGTTTATTTTGATTTGACCATTCCTCGGGTATTATACGAAGAATGTTTCGAGATCTTTTACGAGGTCGTTGATTTTATAACTTTGGGATCTTTGGAAAGCACTTAGCTCGTGCTTAGGAAAAGGTATGGCCTTTTGTTTGTTGCTTATTGTGCTGAAAGTGCACCCATAGCACGTTTTTGAGAGATGCCGAGAAGCGCCACTGGATTAATAGTTGAATACGATAGTGGACACTTCTGTTATCGAACTTGAACCTTTTGTAATTCTATTTTTAGCGCATACAATGCACATGTAGACTTGAATTGCAAGAATTTCAAGTCATGGCAAGTCACTTCACGTGATCACCATAGGTTTTCAGAAATGACTGGATGGGGCCAAGCTGATAACAAAAAAGGAGGGGAAGATATCGGACAGAGGGATTAACGAAATGTCATTAAACATACAACCTATCACCTTGGAGCTCGAATTTCGAGTATATAATCTTCTGCTTTGTAAGGTTCCCCAACCGTATCTTCCGAAAATCTGCTGTGAAACATCTATTCGATTATTATTCTTCTTCTCTTGATCCATACCATGAAAAAGATCTCAGCGATTGGACTGACCTCAAGTTGAAATTGATCCAGATTAGCCAACGACAGTGAGCTGAAAACTTTTTAATCTCATCTCTAGTCACATCTCCCGTGGATATTCACTTCTTAAACTCCTTCCAAATTAAATCCCATTTTACTATTATGTAGATTTTTTTTATTCTTCAGCATCTTATTCCTAGTCATTTTGCAGCCAGGATCCTGAGGTTTGAGTGGTAGACCGCGAGATACTTACCAAATTGTATCAGACGTCGTTGAAAAGAGGACTAATGGGGCGAAGAGGAAATGAGAAGAAAGAAAGACTTAGTTGTCTTGACTCCGATAAATTGCTCTCTACGGCACCTCAGCGCATCTTCGCTATTTTCTTTCTGACTGCCATTAAACGTGCTCAGGCCTTGTGAATTTAATATTCATGAAACGATACAGTATACGAAATCCCTCGGTTTTAAAATACGACGCACGCAACACAACGGAGCTAGGGTTTCGGGCCAACACTTGGTTGAAAATTTCTCATTTTAGTGGGTGCAAACCTTGCTCGGCTGTCCGCTGCCTCTTGCGCGTGTCCCTCCATGGGTTAGGACGATGACTCTGTCATATTAATATAAATGCTTATTGTATACTGTAACCGCCCAGGGAAGAGAACTATACGGATCTTTCTCGTATCCGAGGAATCAGGCCAATGAGACCCCGGTTCTTTTCGCAGACCCAGGTTGGCACTGACACTGTATTTATTGAACTTTCTACTGGAACATTGGCCATCGCCGATCACCGGTAAAGCGTCCACGTGGCGCGGCACCGAAGGCGAGAGATTCTTCCGAGCGTCGGAAGAAATCCGGCGGGCAGCGGACTACATGGATAACAAAAGCGTCGTAAAATAGCTCTCCTCATTTACCCGGATCTGTTGTCGTCTACGTGTCGTCAAGGAGGATGTCAGCCACGGGAGGACGTATGGGGGAGTAGATGCCCAATTCATTCAGCACTCTTTGCGGCACCGGACATCAGCCGAGGCCTTGTCTCTTCCTGCCGGCGGCCGCAAAGGCTTCCCTGCATGCTATGCTCGTAGTCTATCCATGATCTGTATTAGTTATGTCTAACCTTTATACAATCTGCCACTTGAATCATCTGATTGCCCCTTCGATGAACGAGTAAATGAGCTTGTAAAACTGCAGGCTAAAGCAATCCTCGGCGGGCCCCCTAGTAAGCACACCTTTGGCGCCTCACCCTTGTGGAAATTGTCAATTGTGTCAATTGTTTAACTAGTGAGGTTGTGTGGCAAACTGGATCTAACCAGGTATGTACGCAGTTTTGACAAAGTGTTCCCGGATGTGTAGTTGTTTACGTGAGTAGCACTCTCTAGTTTCTTATTCTTGCACTTGATATATTTTGGCTGCTGCTGTTCTTCAATACGAGGGGCTTGTTCTACTGTTCGTGATCTTTTTCCATTGGCAAATTTTGATATTGTTGTCGACGAAGACAAAGGAACATGGATGATCGGCTGATTACGTGAATATCTCTCTAGATTCTTAATTTTTGCACGTTGTGTATTTTTCTCGTTGTTGCTCTTCTTGACGACGAGGAGTTTGTTACATGTTCGTGATTTTGGAATGTTTGAGGATTTTCTTACTGCTTCTGATGAAGGGTTACATGATTATCGAATGTTAATGTAGCTTTTTCTTTACTCTTGATTCTTCTATGTCTGGCATTCCTACAGCTATTCTTGCTTCGTATGTCTTTCTTGACTGTCACAATTTTGACGAGTATTCTTGTTACAACCTCTTCAAGGTGCAATATGTCGACTGAAATTAAAGACAAAAATTCTTAAGTGTTCGAGAACAATTACCTCGGGCCACAAACCGCCACAAGTGATTGCAATGGACACACTGACTAGATACAACAACAAGTAATCCAACATTCATATTGCGTTGGTGGAGATGGATTTTGCGTCCACGTCAAATAGAAGACCTAAGAATTAGTACTCCACACATACATGCAATAGCAATTACACAATGAATTTGCACTCAGATAATTCTGAATGCATTAAGTTAGAAATCATCCCAAGCAATATGTCACTCATAACACATTATAGCACATCAGTTGATGCTCTTTGCTCCAATTGGAATGTGAAATCCAATTCCTCCATGAAACGAGCGGAAAAGCTGATCAAACAATGCGTAATTCAAGCTTCAAGATTCAAAGATTTGAGCGCTGGATTGTGTAGAACAAGGAATAGAATGAACAAGAAGATGTATCAAAGATTATTTTGCCTCAAATGTACGACATGTTAAATTCAATCCAATCTCGCTGAATCAACCCCTTCTCTTCATAACCTCTACTCTTCAAAATCCAAATACAAGTCAATGCTAATTCGAACATCTCCACATAAGCAAACCTAAACACAAGTCAAGATTATTATGAAAATCTCCACATGAGCAGACCTACGATGGTAGCTAATTCAATTCACACCTCTGTCAAGGATTTTGTCTCCATACATCGTACTTTCACGTCCAAATCTATGTCATGTTTTGTCGACAATCCAATACCTCAAAATTTTCAAAGTCATCACAAATTCTCCTTGAAATAAAACTTGGAGAAAGTAGTCAAAAGAACAGAGTAACTAGATTATTACCTTGACAACCGAGTATATAATGAAATACAACAATATGAAGTAGTTTGTGACAAATCTAGACAAATGTGTTACTCAAATTCTCATGGCCAGAAGAGTCGGCAAGCAGCATTTTGCATTACAATTATGATCTTGCAATATGAAATAAAAATATGGAGTATTGCAAGCCAAATCTTAATGCAAGCTTTGATTTTATGATTGAAAATCCACCTTTTATCACAAAGTCAACAATTTTGTTTCTTTCTTCCAACAACTTGACATCTTATGAATTCATTTCTACAATTAAGTCCATACAAAGAAGAAAATAGATAAATAATTTATATCTTGAGTCTAGATACTTAAGTATGAAAGAATCTCACAAAATCTCAACCGAATGTTTTTTAATGTTCATATTTTTAAAATACACATCTATGTACTCATTCCACCTTATTCCAGCAACAATCTCACACGCTGAAATCGATCAACTTATAGAGGGAACATTTTATGGACAATCACATAAACATAACTTAGAATAATCCAAAAATTCACTCTTTGCATTCATCTTATTGTGATAAAAATTTTCAATATAAAATTTCCATTTTTTTGAAATAAATTATCTCTCCATGCTTTACACAAATACATAATGTGTCTTAGATTTGAAGATGCAAATATTGATAAGTTGCACACACAAATATATATCAAAAATACCTCAAAGTATGTTTATTACTTCTAATATATAAAGTATGAAATTTGCATAAATTTTTCAATGCTTAGAAATACAATTTTCAATGCAGTCAAATCTTGAGTGCAACAATCAATTATGAAGCAATTAGATTTTTAGTTATGCTCTAATTTAATTTTTGCATCTTTAACTTCTTGCACAATATTCACAATTTTTTCTATTTTTTTTTTCTTCAAGCAATCAATAACATCATTAGATGACACAAAAGAAACAAAATTAAAAATGAAGATTGCATAATGATTAAAAAAATAATTTCATTAACTATTAGCAAATGAATATAATGTGATTTGTATAAATTTATCAATGAGAGTAATAAAGATGATATTTTATGCTACACAA